AATTGTATACATAAATAGGTCATTGACTCCATTTCGGGATAATGAATATAGTGGAGAAACTTTCCTCTGCCCTCCTAGGTTCTTCCAGCTTGTCTAATAATTAAATCTATGTAAGACAAACAAGACGTAATCAGATTTAATTACATATGAATGGTATGAACAGGGACCCCACGTCCATGAGAGGGTCAGAGACAGAAAGTTAAAATGAGGCATATAGGAAATCAGAGAAAAAAATTGAGTCCTGGCTGGCGTAGCTCAGCTGGCTGGGCGTCCGGTAAACCAAAAGGTTGCCGGTTCGATTCCAGTCAGGTCACATGCCTGGGTTGTGGGCCTGGTCCCTGACCAGGGTACGTGCTAGAGGCAACCAATCGATGTTTCTCTCCCTCTCTTTCTCTCTACCTTCCCCTCTCTCTAAAATAAATAAAGTCTTTTAAAAAAGGAAGAAAAAATTAACGAGTTTTGCTAATAGCATCTGTAAGTTTAAGAGAATCATTAATCAAACTTATACAGAAAACAACAAACTAAGGAAACATTTGCTGCCTGTGACAAGATACAGACCTCGGCCCAGCTGGCAGGAGCGCGGTCCCGTCCGGTCCCAAGGCCACTCTGCTCACCGGCTCTGGGCTTTGAGCGAGTTACTCAGTCTTTCCCGGGCTCAGTTTCTTCATCTTTAAAGTGGGAATAATTATGCTTGGTTGGTTGGTTGGTATGAAGGGGAAATATGATAATGTATGTAAAGCACCTGTTACATGGTATGTCCCCAAGCAAGGCTGGCTGCTCTTATCACCATTTTGTCATTGTCATCAGTCACCTACAGTTCTTTGAACTGAATGAGACAAAATATCCTAGGAGGGTAAAAGTCTTTATATAATAGTTAGTTCATATGGCCAATAAACAAATGAAAAAGAAAGGTCTTCCTCACTAATAGAGAAGAGTGCAGATTAAACTACAGTGTGATGCCATTCTTACCAAATTGCCAAATGTAAAAAGCGACCCTTTCCGCCGGGGACCAGGACAGTCAGACACTCTGCTGCAGAGGGACAGACGATAACACCTTTCTGAAAGGCACTTGGCGACCTGTATCCAGATCATTTTGACCCAGAAGTGTGTCCTAAGGGAAAAACTGAGGTTGCACACAAAGATTTATAAGTAGGAAACTTTATCAGAATGTTACTTTGTAACAGCAGAAGGTTACAAACAACTTAAATTTCTCTACACTGGCTAAACAAATGACGGCGCATGGCCAGAGTGGAATGCCGAGGACTCGGTTTTCAGTCCTGCTGTTAGGTGAGCAGGCGGGAAGTTGCTCCCATGTGTGAAGTAGGAAAAAGCAATACAGAAAACCACATGTCAAGGACAAGACCGTTTTGCGTATCATAAGAACAAAGATAGTTTAGTGATGTTCAGAAAAAACAGATCGGAAGGAAGTATATTAAAATGTTAATGGCATTTCCCCTAGTGTTGGGATCGTGGGATAGTTTTAATTTTCCAATATTTATTTTTTTAGACTTGCTTGATTTCCTACAATTTAACAGGTAATGCTTTGGGGACCAGTTTAACAAATAACAAATCAATTACTTTGAAGGGAAAAATCCCCATGAGCCCATTCGTGAGTAAGTGCAGTGAGGTGGCTCCCAGGCTGCTCTGGTGGGTCACGCTTCATTCTGCCTCCTGGCTTTTGTCCGCCGCAGTGACCGGTTAGCGCTGCTCCAGGTCCGGGCCATCCTCCAGCAGCTGGGCCTGAATAGCACCTGCGACGACAGTATCCTCGTCAAGACCGTGTGTGGCGTGGTGTCCAAGAGGGCCGCGCAGCTGTGTGGCGCGGGCATGGCCGCCGTGGTGGATAAGATCCGGGAAAACAGAGGGCTGGACCGTCTCAACGTGACCGTGGGGGTGGATGGAACACTCTACAAGCTTCATCCCCAGTGAGTGGGGCTTCCAGTTGGGGTGGGCAGAGCTGCCTGGGCTGGAGAGTTCCTTTGGTGGTGATGGGACAGGAGGATGCGATTCCCGTCAGGACAATTCCTCAAGGGGCGGGGCTGACCTGGGATGAGGCAGTGAGCTGCTCTGAAGTCTCCCTGAGAGAGGCGGAGAAGGGGCTTTACTTGGCCAGCATCATGACATGTCCCTTGCCCTGCTCCCCCTGGGCCCCACTAGGGTCAGGCAGAGTCCGGGTGGGACTCCCCAGTGGGGAGCAGGAAAGGAGGTGGGGATGGGTGCGGGCTCACCCACGTCGGCCTGGTAGGTGCAGCCTGGCCAGGAGCCTGTGTCCGGTGAGTGGGGAGAGGGAGAGAACAAGGCAGAGGACGACTCGGGGTCTTGTGCACCTGCTGTCAGTGCTTGGGAGGCAGGAGCAGTCGGCCCTGGGCTCGTAGCAGGGAGGGGGTGGGGGATACGTCTGTTGTTCAAGTGCCCAACCCTCCTCCAGGCTGGGGGAGGGTGTGTGGCCCTTCTGCTCTTTGATCCACTGCATTGTCCCAAATCTTGGCTCTTATGAATAGTGACCATATTACTTATTGTCTAAACTCTGGGATGCTTTTGCCAGTGAAGACTGTGCTATTTATAATTACGCTGGCACCATCCCAGATAAACCAGGCCATGACGTCACCCTACTTGAATGCGACGTCACCCAACTAACTCATCACAGGCATTACCTTACCTCATGGCCGGGGGCTGGACCATGCATCTTGGTCCATTCTCACTTTCATCTCCCCACTCGATAGTTGTGCCCTTCCTTACCTGGGGCAGTGCACAGGCGTGGGTTAGAGCTAGGCTTCGGAGCTGTACACACTTGGACTTAATCCTGGCACCCCCCTTTGGAAGCTGGGTTCCATTGCTCGACCTCTGACAAGTCTCATCTTCCTCCTGGGATAGTAGCCACTGGCAGGACCAGAAATTATGCCTGAAAAGTGTAGGGTACCTGCTAGGTGTTCAGCAAAGGGCTGTCCGTGTTAAGTCTAAGAGCCCTATTGCCCTGACCATTCTCAGCCTGGTCCTGTCTCCTTTTCAGCACAAAACGCAAGAACCTCGAGTCACCTCTCATTCAGAGATTCCCTTTCACTGGGGGCCGCCCGCTGCTGGCTTCAGGCGCAGGGTGGTAGAGATGGTGATAGGCCGGGCCTCAGCGGGCTGCAGCTGTGGGGATGGCGTCTGTGCCCGTGCAGTCTGCGGAACCGGCCCATCTCAGCGGCCCGCGCCCAGGCCTTTGCACCCTTTTTGGGTTTGGCTCCCTAGGAGCTTCCAGGTGTGTCTTTGAGAATAGGTGTGTCGGAATGTGTGTTATTTACACCCTGGGCCTTATAAACTGTACGGGGCAGTTTGTTTTGGGATGCTGAGCCGAAGACTGTGACAGTAGGCCTGCCTGTGAGTCCACTTTCCCCCTGCCCCTCTCAGTAAGCCACAGCTGCTTCCAGGCAGCCCCTCCCATCTTGTCTGCCTCCTTTTTATTGGGGCCGTTTAGTGTCTTCCGGTGGGTCTAGCGTCTCTTCTCCTCTTCCCCTACCTACCTGTTTCGCTCTTGTCTTTTTCAGCTTCTCCAGAATCATGCACCAAACCGTGAAGGAACTGTCACCAAAGTGTAATGTGTCCTTCCTCCTGTCCGAAGACGGTAGTGGCAAGGGGGCTGCCCTCATCACGGCAGTGGGTGTGCGGCTGCGGGAGGACATGAGCAGCTAAGGGGCCCGGCCCCCAGCCTGCTGCCCTTCCAGCACTTACGTATCTCTCCAAGCGGCGACCCCTGTTCTCCCAGCGGGCCGTGCTGGGAGACCCCGGCACCAGAGCCCGGCACTGCCACCGCGGGGAGGGAAACGGAGGCCAGCTAATGGCTCATAGCGTAGGCCACAAGATAGAGTGTGTGCTGCTGATAATCTCCCTCACCTCGGGGTCCCTCCTCACCTGTCCCGCCACTCTGCATGATTCGATTCCAGCCCGGCCATGCGGCCCCCACATGTGAAGTTTCGTGGCGCCCATTTCTAATTTATGCATTCGTCCAACAGTTATTTATTGGCCTGAGATGAAAAGTCACACCGTCTCACAGGCTTTAGGGTGTCCGTAGCCCGTCCTGGGGGACGAATCCCCTGTGTAAAATTTATTATCACCAGCAGACACTGCCGGGGCTCCTCCCAGGGGCGCTCGCCGCTCCCTCCTGTCCCAGCACCCACTGCTGTCTGGCGTCTGAAGGTTCCCGTCCGGGCACGTCTGTGCCACTGGATTGCGTGTCTGTGGACCTGGTCATAGCCACATTGTGACTGTCTTGCATTCTATCTTGGGTGGGGGGGATGTGGGCAGTCCTGTGGCAGAGTGTCTTGTCTCTATTCGCCTAAAAGGAACCAATCAACAAAATAGTGCCCTCATTGGAATGTCCCATCGCTTCTGTGAGCCATGTCGTATGACCTAGTAAACTTTGTACCAATTCAAAGACCTGAGTGATGCTTAATGGCTGGGGATGGGGGAGGGCATCTGGGGATAGGGCAAAAACCAAACCCTGGGGATTTTTGTGGCCTCCTGGGTCAGGGGGAGAACTGAGATGAGGATTGTGTTCCCCTGCCCCAGCCTTCCTTCAGACTTCCCGAGGACTTCTGTCCTGGCCCCAAGAGTGTCACAGAACCAGCCTCCCCCCTTGTCTCCCAGCACCTGCCCTTCTCCAGCCCCAGGGTCCCGTTCTGGGGAGAGGCTCCTGCAGCCCTCACCCCAGCACCTTTAAGGTAAAGAGATATCCTCCTCCGTCCTCCCATAGCCTGGCCTCGTCACTTGCAGTTGGAGCAAAGACAAAGTCAACCTGGCTTCCAGGGACTGTTGGAGTTTGATGAGAGGTGAGTGCCGCTCTGGCCTCCCCTGCCATCCGCCGGCAGGGCCTGCCCTTCGCCGCCTTCTCTGCCAACTCCAAGACAACGGATGACGTAGACACCCCCCCCCCCCGCCCTAACACAGATGGAGTCTTGCAGCAGCCTGGGGTAAAGGACTGCTGCACTCTCCCCTTCCCCCTTCTGAAGGAAAGTGGCCCTCACCTGACCCTTGCATCCCTGTCCACCATTTCGGATTCTCCCCACAGCCCATCGGCGGATCCCACCACAGTCTGCATTCTGGTGCCCTGTCTGTGACAGGTGCCACGTGAGTCTCCTGAGCCATGGCCCCAGCTCTGGGCGGCCTTCCCCAGGACTGGCTGCTTGGTTTGGTGAGACCAGAGCCCCTTTATTTGGCACCACTGGTGCCTGTGGCACAGTGATTTTTGTGGAGAACACCTGATAACATTGAACCCTCTTGCTGTACACGCAGTGTTACATGGTTCTTCTGGGGCCCGGAGGGGCAGGTGGCAAGCAGGGAGAGGTGCGACCTTGGGCCAGACCCAGAGCTTCCTCTGGGTCGGGACAGTGGGTGGTGTCTGCCTGCCGCCTTCGTGCTGTGAAAGAGAGAGGGAGAGAGCGGTGTTGCTGCCTTGCAGGAGCCACTCGTGTTACATAGCCGGCACGGGAGTTAAGAAAACCGCGGCGGCTGCTGTTTGTTAAGCACTTAACCTGTGTTTGGCCTGGGAGCGTTTAGGCATCTCTTTGTCATCCCCACAGCAAATCTTGCCATTGGGAGAGGAAGAGCTGCGGGTCTGAGGGACTCGCCCCGCACAGTGGAGGCTTCCTTTGACCTTTCCCCCAATCCCTTGGACTTCTCACCGTCGATACTGGGCTGGATCTGAGTGTTTAGATGCCGAGGCAGAGAAGCCTCGTGTCTTGAACCCGATAGTGAATCAGTGTCTTGTTGGCTGCTGCCCACAGGTGTGTTTTGTTCTGTGCTCCCAACCTTTATAAAAATGAGCCAACGGGACAAGCCCGGAAATCTCACAGATGGGATTTCTGGCTTCTCTGGAAAAGACTTAGAAGATGAGGCAGCAGTGAATTCCCCTTACCACGCGGCAGCATTTGTCTAGAGCTGATCAGCTGTTGTTCCCTTTGGATGCCTATGTCCTCGGGTTTGCCACAGTCCCCACCATTCCCTGTGACCCAACACCGGAAGTCAGTTGCCTTTTACCATCATAGTTGCAGTTTTTCTTTTCTACTGGATCCAACTCATTCGTTGCGTTGTGTGCCCCAGGAAGGCGTCTGGGCCCGCACCTTCTGGCTTGGACCGGCATTAGCTCACTGCGTCTCCCTCCTCTCACTGGGTCCCCTGAGGCACTGTCTGAGGGCAGGCTGGATCCCCCAAGTCAGCAACCCCCGTAGAGTGCCCGGCCCCTTCTTGTGCTTCCATCGATGTGTTGAAGGGTGAGGCATGGGCCAGATTTTTGGATCTGGTCTCCAGATCTGGTCTGGGACTTCTCAGAGGGTGCTTGCTAAGCCTCACCCTGCAGCCAGGCCCAAGGCTTCAGGATTCAGTAGGCGCCCTGTGTTGGGGACCCCCAGCCTGCCCACTGGGGGCCTCAGATGAGGCCACATCCCCGTTCATGAATAAAGTCTCTTTAGTGTGACACCTGTTGACCCTCCTGGTCAGGGATGGAGTGTGAGTCAGCTCGATCTTGTCCTCCTCAGTTGGCGTGACCCAGGGGCAGCAACGGAAAGCAATCCGGAATCCAGAGCGAAACCTGGGGGCGGGAGTTCAGCTTGAGCAGCGGGTCGGGAAGACAGTTACAGGGGCTGTTGGGGGCTGCCCTGCCTCCAGAAGCCCCTCTCCCCTCCAGGAAAGTCACTGCCTCACTCCCAACACCTCCCACTGTTCAGGGTCCCTGTCGAGACACAGTCTTTAGTGAGTTTAATATTTGGAAACAGCCAGAAGTAATCTGGAGCTAAGCCTAGTGATTAAAGTGGGCGATTGAGCTGAATTACACCATTTGTTATTAATAACGGACAAAAAGAAGCCAAGTATAAATTATATAGAAACAATAGATTTTCTTGTTCGACTTGTTAATTGGCTTCTACAGGAATATTCATAGGAGTCTTAAAAAAATAGGGCGCTGGCAGTTGGGTGCAATAAGGCTGCTGTCCTAAAGGGACTGCTTTGAAGGAAGAGACACACTTGGAGCTGTGAAGTTTTGGTGCATCTGCTTAAAAAAGAAACAACTTCCCCACGACACCACCGAGACAAGAGGAAGCAGACAGGAAGCGGAAGAAATCAGCAGAACAGAAATAAGTGAGGAATACTGGCCTGTCAGAGAGGAAGAGGAATAAACAAGACCCTGTGTGACAGCGAGCGAGGGAGAGACGTGTGTTCTGGGGCTGCAGGGTTCCACGTTCCAGGAGACCGGCCTGCCTTTGGTTCCTTGCCTCATAGCTCTGAGACTCCGCAGTGTGGCCAACAAATGCCTTTATTATGGGAGCTTAGTGAGTGGCCTCTGGCCCTCACACCTGCAGTCAGCATGTCCCAGCCCGAACTAACCATCATCCTGCCTGTGTTGCTCCCTCACCATCCTCCTCACCTCAGTTCCTGACAGCTGACGGCCTTGTCCTTCCAGTTTCAGGCCAAGAACTTGGGAGTTAACCTTGATTTCCTCTTGAGTGCCACCACCCCTCCATCAAATTCTGTTGGCTTTACCTCAGCAATAAGCACATTCTGACCACTTCTCACCCTCGTCTAAACCTACCGTCTCTCGCCTGGATTACTGTAGTAACCTAACCACTGCCTCACTGTAGTCCAGTTCCAACAGCTGCTGCACTGATTCTTCTCTTTTAAAAGATCTTACTTATTTTTAGAGAGAAGGGAAGGGAAAGAGAAAGAGGAAGAGAAACATCAGTTTGTGGTTGCCTTTCACACCCCCCTACTGGGGACCTGGCCTGCAACCCAGGCATGTGCCCTGACTGGGAATCTAACCGGCAACCCTTTGGTTCACAGGCCCACGTTCAACCCGTTGAGCCACGAGAGCCAGGGATGATTCTTTTCAAAGGGAAGTTGGAGCTTGTGCCTCCCCAGGCTCAGAGACCCGCAGTGCTCCCCGAGTCAGAGCACCAGCCCAAGTCCTTCCCTTGACCCAGGGGCCTTGTCCGTGGCTCTGCCCGGACCTCTTCCCCAGACAGAGCCCACTCAGTCCTCAAGTCTTTGCTCCAAAGACCCCTCAATGAGACCTGCCCTGACCATCCTGTAAAGCTGTGCCCCATGCCCACTACTTCCCCGGCCCTTCCTGTGCTCCCTCACCCAGCTCCCTCTTGTTTTTTTTTTCTGTTTTTCTGTAGGACTTACCACCTAAGACACTACGTGGGTCATGTACTCATTATGTTTGCTTATTGTCTCTCCGCCCCACTCACTAGCAGCCAGCTCACTGAGGAGAGGAGCGTCGTTTTTGTTCACTACTGTCTCGCAAGTGCCAGGACAGTGTGGGGCACCCATGGTCCCTTGTCCCCCTTCAGAGCTAGTGTCATCAAATACGGAATGATTCAGAACTTATTTCAGGAACTTGGAGAGTCCCTTGGAGAAATAGAGCCCTGGAGTGCTGTTCATCTCCCAGGAATTACATCCGTAGCAGGAGAGCGGCCCACACACAGACACTGAGGGCTGGGGGCCCCTCCCTCATGAGACAGTCCGTGTCTCCAAGTTCTCACTCCTACAAGCGGCACGCAGGAGAGATGTGTGACGTGAGGATAAGGTTACAGGCCTTGCAGAGACAGGGAATGCTGGCTCCATTGTGTGCTGAGTTCAGGAAAGTCTTCCTTTTTGAGGCTCAGTTTCAACATCTGTAAAATGGGAGCAACACCTCCCCCCTCTATTATCTACTTACATTGCAGGAGACAATGGAGGGTTCTGGCACCCATTAAACACTCAAAAAAAATTACAGTTTTCTCATTTCCTTCCGGTCTTGCCCAGGTGGGTAGGAAGTTTGAACACAAAGACCCCAATGGCAGGAGTGGCCTTGACATGTGGGCAGGGAGGTGGTAAAAGGCAAGCACAAAGTGGCCCGAGGCCAGCCTCGCCCATATCACTCTCTCGGTAAGGCCAGGACTCAGTGTCCCCCTCAGCTCCTTTGACCTGGCCCCACCTTCTTCAGGGTTTGCTGAGGCTGCATGGCCTGCTCTGCAAGTAGGGCTCCTGGACCCTGGGGTTTCGGCCTGGCCCAGCACCTCCCACTTCTCCGAGTGTTCCAGGACAAAGGCCAGCCCCTCCCTGGGACCCTGCTTCCCCAGAAGTACAAAAGCAGGGAGCACCAAGTGGCATCTGAGGGAGGTGTGAGATCCTGGCTGCATCCTCCCTGTCTCTGACAAACTCACTTCCCAGCCACCTGGAAAGCCTCTTCAGGGCAGCAGGAGAGGCACTGCGTTCTTCCCGGGGACAGATTGGCTGGCTCTGGGTCTCCCCTGACTGAGAGCTGCATACTGCTAGGGTTGGGACTGTTCTCGCCCAAGGAAAGCCCTTAGTTATTCCTCATTGCAGGAAGCTCATAAATGTCAGGATGGCCCTGACCAGCGTGGCGCAGGTGGTTGGGCGTTGTCCCACAAAGCAGAAGGTCGCCAGTTCCATTCTGATTACTGTACCTGCCTGGGTCGTGGGTTCGGTCCCCAGTGGGGTGCATGCAAAAGGCAACTGATCAATGTTTCTCTCATGCATCAATGTTTCTCTCCCTGCCCCTTTCTCTAAAAATAAATGAATAAAACCTTTTAAAAAATGCCAGGACATATCTTTTACCTGGCTCCTTCCTCCCTCCCTCGCTCCCTCCCTCCCTGTCTGTCCTTCTGCCTCTCTCTGACTCTCCCCCCTCCTCCATCTCTCTGTCCCTACCTTCTCTCTTCTCCTTGTTTCAGATGTAGCCCCCAGAAGACAGAACAGGAGCAGACAAATGGTGAGAGCAACGAGGGGTGGGGGCTCACACCAGTGGGAGGATTGTGCTGTGGTCTCACAGTTAGGATGGCCCCTGTGAGGGTGGGAGGCACAAAGGTATGGACTCAAGATGCACAGGAAGGTCCAGATGGGGCCAGGGTCCAGATTGGGGCCCTGAGGGCTGAGGAGGGGTCAGGACGAGGGCTCACCTGTGGTTGAGGCAGCAATAGATGATGGGATTATACATGGTGGAGCTCATGGCCAGCCAGAAGAGTGCCAGGTAGACCTGCTGGATGAACTTGTGGCAGTAGATGTCCTCCTGGAAGTTGCCCAGGATGAAGTAGAGGTGGTAGGGCAGCCAGCAGACGGCAAATGTCACCACCACCAGCACCATGGTCTTCACAAACTGGTCCAGAAGAGGCTCAGGTCACTTTTCAGCCCGGAAGCCCCAAGCCCCTTGGGGCAGGGACAGGGGCAGGGGCAGTCTAGGAAGCCCTCAACCAGCAGGTCCTGTCTACCATTATGGCCTCAGTCTCCTGGATGCTCCTGAGCCCTCCCTGCTGGGGTTTTTGCTCAGCCTGGTCCCTCTGCTGTCATTCCTTTGAAGTCCTCAGTCCTCAAAGCCTAACTCAGTGGTCACTTCCTCTAAAACGAATCCTGGATTCCTGGTGGATGAGCATTCTCTCCTCACCCCTCCTTTGGGGAGTCCCTGTGCCAGCTGTGGGTCTCCAGCCCCAACCCCACCCGGGGTCTGTATCTGCACAGCCCTTCCATCCACAGGTAGCGAGGCTCCACCCTGGGACCCCAGCCTCTGTCCAGGGCCCAGCTGACATTTCCCTCGTCCTGGCTGATTTCAGCAGGTGCGCTTGAGCTCGGCACAGTACCCACGAGGGATGGGAAACAAGCCGGGGCTGGTGGACGGAGACCAGCTCTCCATGAGGGACAGAGAAATGGTGTCCTGTGTCCTATGTCCAACTACCTCCCTAAAAAATTCCGAATAGTAGATGAGAAGTTGAGACTTGGATCTGATACATATGATTAACCCATTACCTCTCCTGCTCGCCTAACAGTAAGCGGGCAAGTCAAAGATAAGCTTCAAACACTGTATCAGGATCCTTGGGGACCCTGAGTGGCAGGGAGGAGGGAGTGGTGGGGGGAACACTAGCACTTCTTTTGGAAATTCAAGACAGACGACAGAGTCTCCATAATCTCTGAGTTCTGCAGTTCTGGCGTTTGAGAGTTCTCCTGTGATTCTATCAAGGAGCCTCCTGTAGTTCTGTGGGACTTCTTAAATTCACTCAAATGCTGGATTACTCAAAAAGTCTAAGATTTAAAAAACTGTCATTCTGAGGTTTTTGGAGGTATTTGAAATTCTGAGGGGCTTTAAGATTCCGTGATTTTCATGACATTCTGGGAAGTGCCATTAACTTTGTATTTGACCAAAGACCTAGGGCGAGTAGACCTGTTCCAGAGGAACAGATTCAGGCCCTGGCCCAGGACTTGGGACCTGGGCAAGTTACTAGCGGATTCTGTGCCCTGCAGCGCCCCCTTGAGGGCAGGCCTTGAGCCCAGAAAAACGTCACCGGAGGCGGGGCCAAGCCCCCAGCCCTGCCCTTTCTGGGCCCGCTCCCCGCCCCTCCGACCCGGAGCCCACCTTCTTCTTGGCCTGCAGGTAATGCCTGTTGGCACCATGTGCATAGTACCCAGGGACCGTGTGTCTCCAGAGCGTGAGGCCTATGACGCTGTAGGCAACGAACATCACCACAAGAGGCAGGAAGTAGATGAGGGCGATCACTGCGAGATGGTACCTGGAAGGAGAGCCAAGGGCCCTGGCACCAGCGGTCGTGGGGGTGACTTCCTCAGTCCCCTGGACCTCGCGGGTGCCCCTGAGCCACCCTGGAGTCACCCCTGGCGAGCCACCGTGGGTGGCCTCCCGAGACCTTAGTTTGATTTAAAGAAAATAAATAAACAAAGGCAACATTAGCTAGCGCACGTGCCCAAATAGGGCTTTCCCTGCTTCGAAAGAGACACCAGTGTTAGCCCTGCGTCCGTCTAAGTGATAGACAAGTACAAAAAAGGAAAAAAAGAAAAGAAATAGAAAGGAACGAAAGTTAACCAAGTAATACATTGGGTTAAAAATTTAAATGCCACGAAGCACAAAGGAGGAAGTAAAATTTCTTATCCACCCCCAGCACTATTAACAATTCGGAATATTTTCTTTCAGATCATGTGCATGTATATGTATTGCCCACCCATCATCCCCGGAGAGCTGGTACCCTAAGCTCTTACTGGTCCCCAGCTCAGGAAGAGGAGGCCTGTGTTAAGATGGAGAAACGCTGCCTCCCAGTGGCCAGTTATGAAACATTCGGCTCTCCGGCCCTCCCTGAGCCAGAAACCCGATCCCTTCCCTACACAACGCCGCTCTGGAGCAGTGAGTCCTTCTGAGAAGGTGGGGTACGGGGTAAGGGCGAGACCCGGGCAGGGCCTGCCCTCAAAACTCAACAGTTGCCAGGAACAGGCTTCTCGAAGGAATGGCGCCTTCCCCAATACTGAAGGCACAGGGCCAGGCAGGGGTGGCCTTGGGGGAGGGGTGTTAAAGGAGGTGGGAAGTGGGGACTGTGTTGCTATGGGGGCCCCTATCTCAGAGCACTGCACATCCTCATGCTTGGGGCAGCTGGGTCCTTGTTGGACTAAATCGGCCGCCTTCAAGTTTGTTTTCATGTCCCATATTTAAACTGCCACATTTAAACTGCTCCCGGGTCTGTGACAGGATGGTACTAAGGGCTTTCCGTACATTTTCTCATATGTGCTCACAACCACCCTGGAGCAAGTTTCTTTTATAATGAGCCCCATTTGACAGAGAAGGAGCCAAAGAGTCAGAGAGGCTAAGTGACTGTGAAGGGTCTTCTAGCCAGCAGGAATGAGCAGGGCTGTCTTCCCCAGCTGTAACCCATCCTTTATCCTCTGCTAACCAACCGTGCCACGCTCCAGGATCAGGGAGCCATGCCACGAGAACTAGGCAAATGAAGCCCAGAAAGGGAAAGGGCTTACCCAGGGTCACACAGTGGCCGGGCCATGCTGAGTTCTTTCACTTCACGCCCACCCCAGATCCCTTGGTGCCCACCTCAGCGCAAGGCAGGCACCAGGCATCTTCCCCAGAACATCCCAGACTCCATCACCTGCCCTGTCTTTCTGCCTGAATACCCTGACCTTGCGGCCTGGGCATTCACAGTGCAAAACACACACCCGCACACACATTCCCGAACACAAACCTGTGGGCACACCTGTCCGTAAACATACCTGCACACTTACACACACACTCACAGAAATGAGTGGGTGCGGTGTGCCTGCACAGGTGTCATCGTACGCTCATGTGCAAGCCTCTGTGCCCTCATGTAAGAATGCACACATCCTGATGTCAGTGCGGAGTGGGGAGCAGATTGGGCTGTGAAATGGCACTGCCTGTATTTAACTCCTTGTTTCTGCCCTTACTATATGTGTGTGGTCCTGGGCACATCACTTAGTTATTTAGTATCTCAGTTTCCTCATCTGAAAAATGGGAATAATAATAATACGTACCTCTTAATGTTAGGGGAATTAAATGAGTTCATATATGTAATGTGCTTAGAGCAAGCCTGATACTTAGTGAGTAATGTCACTTTTAGCATGTATGTGTACTTACACAAGCCCAAGTACACTCACGGACACACGTGCATGCCCTGTACGCACATGCACATGCATTGCCAGGTGTATGTACATGCGCACACACACCATGCTTCCCCCACTCCCTTCCCAGCCTTACAGAAGGAGTATCTTGCCACCACTGTCTTCAGGCCAGGCCACTACGCACTTAGTGGCTCCCTGGTCCATGATGATGGCGGAGTAGAAGCACTGTGGGAAGGCGAGGGCCAGGGCCACCAGCCAGATGCCAGCAATGACGGCTCTGGTGCCAGGGGCTGACAGCCGGGGCTGGAAGGGGTGGACGATGGCCATGTACCTGTGAGGAAAGAAAGGGCGGTATGAGCAGTGGGCACCTTCCTGTCTGACCTCCTTTCCCCCCACTTTCTCCCCCACTACAGGCCCACACCCTCTAGCCCCAGGCCCCACACTGCTGCTGGTGACCTGCAGAGAGCCAGCTGGGCCGGTGACATCCCACAGCCACACGGCACCCTAGTGAAGTGTCCTGACCCCCACGAGGCCCCCACTACACCACCGTCCTCTGAGTATGGAATTGCTCTCAGATGGGCATGAGAGAGCGGCATGGCTGCACTGGAAGTCCACCTCTGACATCTGTCTGCAGCTCCGCCCTGACAAGCCCTTCAACCCTGGGCCAGCCTCTCTTCGGTTCAGAAACTTCAGCAGAGCCCAGCAGTCCCCGGGACAAAGCCCAAAGCAGTGCTGCCCACCAGCTTTCTGCAGTGGTCAAAATATGGTACATATGCACTGTCTTGTTCAACAGCCACTAACCACACGTGACCGATATGACTGAGGAACCGAAATTTTAATTTTAATTAATTAGAACTTAGGCATATTTGAGGTCTGTTCAGAAAGTACCCAGCCATGCACTATGAAAAACTGGGACATTTATTGACAAAGGTACAAGATACAAGAAACATTATACTTAGAATGATGACACCTCAGTCCCCTTCAAACAGGCACCTTGGGACCCCACACAGTTCTCCCAGTCTCCATCAGCTGCCACATTGTATTTTCTTCAATCTCATAGATGGTCTGAAATCTCTTCCTTTTCAAAGGTGATTTTAGTTTTGGGAAGAGCCCGAAGTCGCAGGGCACCAAATCTGGGCTGCAGGGGGGCTGAGTCACCTGGGTGGTTTAATGTTTCACCAAAAAACTCTGAATCAGATGTGAAGCATGAGCAGGCATGTTGTGATGAAGCTGCCAGTCCTCAGTTGCCCAGAGCTGTGGCCTTCTGAATCACCCAAATAGTTTCCATGGAGGAATGTTCAGGCATCATGCAAAATTTGATGCAGATTCATTGCTCTACTTGCTCAGTCATTCTGAATGCTATGGCCACGCTGTACACATGCTCACTTAACGGTGTCTACCACCCCCACTGACTAGTACAGTGAGGTTGTCATTGTTCACACATGTGCATTCCAGTCCACCCTCCGAGGCTGGCAGACTACACCAGTGTCACACAAACCGTTCTACTTATATTAAGAATGGCTGGATTTGACCTGGCTGGTGTGGCTCAGTGGACTGAGTGCCAGCCTGCACAGCAAGGTATTGCTGGTTTGATTCCCAGTCAGGGCACATGCCTGGGTTGCAGGCCAGGTCCCCAGTAGGGGGTGCACAAGAGGCAAACACACATTCATGTTTCTCTCCCTCCCTTCCCCTCTAAAAAAAATAAAATGAAATCTTAAAAAAAAAAAAAGGAATGTCTGGACTTTTCCCAGATGGACCTCATATGGCTATGATTACATTAGCAGACAGGCAGGGCCCGACCTTTAAACGCGGCATTCAGTGACCTCTGCAGAGGGCCAGTGCGCTCGCCAGCCTCTTGTGTCGCTGCTTCCCTCACCTGGCTCACTCTGGCCATGGAACAGCCCTGCTGTCCCCGGCTGCAGGTGTAGTACACAGAATTACAAAGACAACCAATTACACTGCAATACCATCATGAAAATATAAAACAAATTTGGAACAGAGTAATATATCCACTTCTTTATCAACCCACTGAACAACAGGATTTAGCAGCAGGTCTGGACACTGTGGAAGTTTTGAAGTAGGGAGGAGAGGAGGTGGTACTTTGCATTTTCTGCACAACAGAAGCTGCCGCGATATCTATTGGTGACAGTGCCAGGCGCGGCTGGAGTCCCCGCACACCGTGCTGTGCTGCCTGCATCTGTGACTGTGGCCCCCTTCCGAATTCTGTCCACAGCTCGTGGTCGCGGGTGGTGCATGCCGGGACTACATGATTGTTGACCCTCCGCCCGCACGCTGGGGCGCTGACCTTCTCCCTGGACTGCGGCCTGACCCTGGGCGGAGCACCCCAGCAGGACGAGAGAAGTAGGCCCTGCCGCTAAGGTCCTTCAGCACCCCACGACCCCTAGATGATGATGCGGGAGACCAGAGCGACAACCTGTGGGCTCAGGTGTCCTTCCTGTTCTGGGAGGTGGGGTGGGGAAGGAGAGCTTTCTTCTTGTTCTGTCACTAGGGAAGCAGGCCTGAGACTTGGGATTCAGGCTGGTCTGGATCTGCTTCCTGACTCTGCCTCCTGACTCTGCCGCTTCCCAGAAATAGGCTCTTAGGCACATGACCTAAGCTCTTCGGGTTGTTTGTGTCTCTCCTCTGTGAAGTGGGACCATAGTGATTTGTGCCATTGGGGTCGCTGTGCAGAGTGAATAAGGTGCTTGAGAAGTGTCCGCAGGTAGCTGGGGCTCAGGACTTGAGAGTGTGATTATTCCTATATATTTATGTCCTTTAAATTTACTGGAAACAGCTTTGGTCCAGGATGACCCCTGTGTCTTCCTCCCTGGGATTAATCTGAACCTTGGGACAAGGCCAGGACAGAAGCACGTGGCCTCATATTTTATTTAGCCCTTGCCCTGAGCAAGGGCTTGAGGTCTGCGGCATGCAGGGGGCAGCTGACTCTGTGCCGGCAGCATTTCTGCCCGGCCTGGCTGCGGACTCCCTTGTGATGCTCCTCACACACCCCAGGTGTGCTCCTGCCACAGGCCTTTGCTGCTGCTGCGCCTTCTGCCTAGAATATTCCTTCCCCAGAGCCCAGGGGGCTCACTCTCTCCCCCCCTTCCTGTCTGCTCAAATCCCACACGCAAAATAAGGCCAATTCTGACACCTGGTCTAACACTACAGTCTGCCCTCCCCCTGCCCCCAACACACACACCTGAGTGCCTCGGACCCCATTCCCCTTCCCAATACTTTCCCATAGCTCTTGTGACTTCAAACTACAATATATGTTTATGTATGTGGTTATTATTTAAATTCTCACCAGGGCAGGCATCCTCCACTGTTTTTCCCCCTCGATTCCCAGAACGGTATTTGTACATAGCAGGCATGGAACATACGAATGAATGAAGAAATAAGTGGACAAGTCTGCACTATTACCACCATCCTCTCTCACCTGGATCACTACTCCGCAGCCTCCCACCTGGTCTCCTGGTTCCCTCCCTGCCCGCTGCAGTCCATTCCCACACCCCAACCCCTTTAAGAAGGTAGTTTTCATGAGGTTGTGATTCTGGGACAATTTTTCCCATTGGTGTGCCTTCCGAAGCACTTGAAATAGAGGGCACACTCAAGCACTTGTTAAGTGAAGGGAAAGAAAATCCATCTTGCAGACCCATCATGGGTGTTAGGCGTTCTTCGTGGCGATGGAGAGTGTGGTGGGTCTGGGTTCTGGGCACCTGGCCCCACCCTTGTCTCACACTGGCTGACTTCAGGGGACCCTGACCATCTCTCCAGCCTCAGTTTCCCTGGGTGCAGAATTAGAAGGTTGGCCCGGATGAATGGCTTTTACACTTTCTTTCTGTTTTCATTTTTTTATTACTTAAAAATTATTATTATTATTTTTAACCCTCACCTGTGGATATGTTTATTCATTTGTGAGAGAGAGGGAGAGAGAAAGAGAGAGAGAGACACTGATGTGAGAGAGAAGCGTCAATCTGTTGCCCCTCCTACGCGCCCCAACTGGGGTCAAATCCGCAGCCCTGGTACGGCCCTGACTGGGGTCAAGCTCACACCTTCTGGTGTGCGGGACAACGCTCCACCAACGGAGCTGCTCGGCATGGCTTTATTTTGTTTTTAATTAGTGGAAATAAATTTCTCAACTGAAATCTTCAGGGAAACTTTATTAATAAAACAGCCAAGCGCAGAGAAGTGAGCTGCTGTAGGCGAGGGGTTGTTGGGGTAGTTGGGTTGGGAGGGGGACCCCGAGCCTCATCAAACCATCCCGACGCAGAGTTTGCATCTCTCAGGGGCCCGGCTGCCGCCACGCCTCCCACACATGCCTGGCGTCTTCGCTCTGTTTCTTTTTGTTTGCTGTCTGTCTCAGCCACGCTTCCTCAGGGCCACACAGTCCCCTTCCACTTTCACACTGGACCTGCCTGCCCCAACCAGCTTTTAAAAGAGTCATGCCCTGGCTATTGTGGCTCGGTTGGTCGGAGCTTCGTCCTGTCCCACACGAACTGAGAGGTCTCAGGTTTGATCCCTGGCCAGGGCGCACACCCGGGTTGGGGTGCATGTGAGGGGGCAACCAACCGATGCTTCTCTCTCATATCGAGGTTTCCCTTCTCCCCTCTCCCTTTCTCTCTCCCCAAAAGCAATGGAAAAATGTTCTCACGTGAGAATTAAAAAAAAAACTTTTAAAAAAGAATCCCCTACTTGCTTACCCATCACTCCACCCCTCCCCGACCCACTCTCTGAAGTCGCATCTGCAGCCCTGAGAGCAGCCAGGGAAAATGACTGGCCCCATGCAGTTACATGGTAGCTGCACATAATACTGAATTTTCCCCACGTGTAACCTGTCTGGGAATAGAAAAACCACGTAAGCAATTTCCTTGTAGTAAAAGAAAGACCTCATAGTAAAGATCAACCACAGGAAAGGACGCCAAAAAGTTCCCAAAATACTGCCACTCTTGCCCCACCGCATTGAACAACCATCTGGTGTAAAGTTCTTTCTGTGTCTAACCTTAAGCTTACCTGCTGCAGTCCCATCAGCCTCTGCCTCCCAGATGCATAGTTTTGCATCATGATCGGACTGGGAGGCAATTCCCCAGGTTCCACATATAACTTGCAGTGAAACTTTGGGCAAGTCACCAGCCCTGTCTGAGCCCCAGCAAAGTGAGCCAGCTCCCACCTGCTTCTCCCAGCCCCCACTGCCTCCTACCTGTCTGCGGCGATGGCGGTCATGGAGTAGATGCTGACGAACATGGCTGTGACCGGGAAGAGGTTCTGGAAATAGCAGAAGGTGCGGCCAAAGTACCAGATGTTGTGGCTGGCGTAGACGAAGTTGAAGACGGCGTTGAAGGCGGCCATGCAGAGGTCGGCCACGGCCAGGTTGACAATGAAGTAGTTGGTGACTGTGCGCATCCTCCGATGGGCCAGGATGATCCAGATGACTGTTGCATTGCCCATCACGGCCACCAGCACAAGGATCAGGTAGGCTGCAGCCCACAGTGCCAGCTGCCAGCCGGGCATGGAGAAGGACGTGATGCCTGTGGTGTTGCTCTCAAGGTCAGATGAGATGTTGGTATCAGCACAGGTTCCCATGCCTCTGGGTCTGGGACGAGGGTCTGGCTCCTCAGCTCCTTCTGGACCCAGGCGCTCTGCCTGGATATGCTACAGGAGAGGACTCCTCTGCGGCAGGAGAGTACAGAGCAGAGAGGAGGAGGTGCAAAGCCAGGCACGTCAGGGAAACCAGTGGTCACTCGCAAATCTCAAACAGACATGAGTCAGGCTGAACAGAGTGGGTTCCACAGCCATTGGCATTTCAGATTCCCATGTCCCGGCCTGACTTCTCCAATGTCACTTGGAAATCTGGAATCCAAGACCTGGTTTCAGAGCAGGAGATATCCTTATTAATTATGAGTCAACCCCTTCACTGCAGAAATAGAAAGACAGATTCCAAGGAGGGATATGACCAGCCCAGGCCACTCAGCAAGTTGGTGACAAGTCAGGACTCAAACCCAGGTCCCTCCTAATACGACTCAGAAACTGCTCGGGACCAGACAATCACACAGGCAGCAGCCTTTGGATCCCACTGGTCAGCTGCGCAGCCGGCTTTCTCTCCGGGCTCTGGGGTGTGGCCGGGCTGCCAGCTCTCAGAGCGGCTGCCTTTCCTGCTGCTCCCCTGTGCCGGCCAGTGAGAGCCTTGGCAGAGGTGGTGCCTGCTCATGAGTTGGGGCTCTGGCTCCCGCCCCTCGTCCCACCCCTGCTTGGATGGCCCAGCCTTGTTTCTTGAGGAAATATTTAAGACCGGCTGCCAGGCAGGGAGACCCGAGGGGACATAGGGGTGGCAGGGTTGGGGGCTGGCGTGGAGGGCGCAGTCCTTGGTGGGGTGTTTATACTCGCCCTGGGCCAGGAGTTGTATCTAGAAAGTGATTAGGACCCTGTGCTTGGGAGCTGGACTGACTGTGAGTCGGTTTCCCTGACACCAGACATTGAACTTCTGCTTTCTTAGCTGAAAAGAAAAAAATGTGTACGTCCCTTGGTATACAGCAGGTCCTTGAATAATGTCTCATTCAATGTCATTTCATTATAACATTGATGAGATATTGTAGGAGCTTAACTTTTGTTTATATCGATTAGCTTAGTATAAAGTTGGTTTAATTATAGGTTGTTTTGCTTAAAGTTGCAGAAGTTATCCACAATGATAAATGAAGACTTGTTATATTTGTGAGTTTTAACTCAGATGATGAGTGTAAAGTGTATTTATTAGCACAGGGGCTGGCCCACAGGAGCCCCCCAGAGAGCTGGGGGCTCTGCAGAGAAGACGGAACTGCAAGCACTTCTAAGTAGTTCCTAGATGATTCTGACGGTGCTGGTTCTGGGACCTCACTTTGAGAACCACTCTCACAAGACAAGGACAGGGCTCACTGCCTCTTCTGGGAGCCCCGGGAAGGCTGGATGGAGCTGCTCCCAGGATGGAGCTGCTCCCCAGGGGCAAAAGCACAGGAATCTGCTCTTGGTCTTCGACTGTGGTAGTGTGTTGGCCACTGAGTGAAGCTGCAGTACTGTTCCTGAGTGACTGTACATGTGTGGCTGTGCACACCTGTGTGTGTGTGTGAAACCTGAAGGCGGACAAAGTGTGTCCCTCATTAAAGCTGAGGAGGGCTCTCGTTCACCAGCACTGGTGGCCTTGCTGTGCTAAGCATGTGGTTGGTCTCCTGGGAATCCAGCCCTGCACCTTGGGGAGGGTCTGCTTCCTTGGCCCTTACTCCTCCCGTGGGTGTGTGTACTGTGGGGCTCTTGAGACTCCTGCCTGCCCAGAGTCTGCTCTGGACACAGCGGGCTCTGGGCCTGGCCAGGTCACGGGTTGGGGGCCTGCTGCCTCTATGGAGCGAGCCACCAGCCTCTGTTTGGATGTCTGTACTTCACCGAAGGGCCTGTGCCTTTGATCTTCTTTGGTGGCAGCAGCAGCATCCACTCAGCTTTGGGGCTTGTTTCAGTCTCTTGCTCTCCTGGCTGGGATTCAGAGGCACAATGTGTGGAATAGGATGTAAGCACAAGACAACTTTCTCTTTTTGCTGTTCTGCTTCCTGCTCCCAGGCAGCTGGAATTTGCTGAGCTTCAGGTGCAAGCACAGTGCAGGGCTGGGACAGTGGAGAGAGTCTCACCAGTCGTAGAGTCCACAGTTGGGCAAGCCTCCCAACCCCCTTCGTCCTGCCACTGCCATTGCCTAGGTCATGGGGGCTCTATTTTGGAGCTGTTAAACCTGAGTTTTGATTCCCTCCTTAAGCCGCGTGCTCTTGCAGCTTTCCAGACATGTGCTTGTAGCTTCAAGGAAGGAGAGGGTGGGAGTCACCGCAGACTGAGGGGTTATTGATCAGCCTCGCTGCTCAGGGTTGACCTGCTGAGTCTGTCACTTTACAATGGCCTTGAAGGCTAGTTTTTGGGAAAAGAGAAAAAAAATATTTGAGTTCCTTTAGCTCCTATGGGCACATGAAGACTGTGGTTCACTCATTCAGGTTTGTGTATGGGATGTCCCCTCCACTAGCAAGTGGAGGGGGAAAGGCTGGCCATTGGTTCTCGCTGGGATTAGCTGAGCTGATGACACACAGGTTGGGAAACTAGGAAGTGACTTTGGTTCAGAGCGTAGAGTGCAGGGTGTTTATTAGGGGTCCACACCTGGGGAAGGGAGGAGGAAGCAGCAGTGGGCGGAGGAGGAAGTTGAGCTGCTATGTGGAAGACAGCAGGCCTTGGAAAACCCCATGGGTTGCTTGGACTAGAATGGCCCTTTAGAGTTGCACTGTGTCGGGCAAAGGTGGCCAGTCTTTACACTTCTACAGTGATCACTGGGTGTAAGCTGCCCCAAGGAGGTGCATAGTTTTCTACAAGGCAGCTCTTTGCAGCTGAGACAATGGCTGAATGAGACGAGAGCCGAACACGGTCTGCTTACAGCACTCCCGGCATGCCGTAGAGTCGGGGAAGCCCAGGTCAGTGTCAACCACGGCTGAACAGCAGCCTCTCCGTGCACGGGGTGTGAGCTCACCTGTGCTCCTCATTGGTTTGTGGTTTCATGGCTCCCGAGCTGGAGGCCCGAAGACTGGAGTTGAGAGAGGAACTGTTCTTTTTCAGGGAGGAGAAGGTGGGATAGTGGCAGGGATGAGGGAGGTAAATGGAGAGAACAGAGGACTCCAGGAAGCATTCAGGACTGGGTGCTTCTTCAGCAGTGTCTGAGAGAGGATGCTGCTGGCCTGGGCCACTTGCTCGTGGCCTTAGTGAGTCCCATATAGCCTCACGGGCCTTAGCGCTGAAAAGTTCTGTGGGTCATCTAGTCGCCAGATAGTTCACTTGGACTGGGCAAAGTGAGGACAAGGACAGCACAGTGAGCTTTCTGTTCAGCTAAATGAATCTGTTCGGAAGGCTCAGTCTTCCTTCTGAGCTCTTTCTGCTTTTTGGGTTAAAATGACCTTTCTTTCATGAAATAATGGTGATGGCAGAAGGTAGTTAGACTGGTTTTTTTTTTTTTTCTCTCTAAAATTACTAACTCAATGGAGTAAAAAGTTGGTGACCCGTATGGTTCCCTCTGTTAGGTTTTTGATATTTTATTGGTCCATGAAATTCAAGGATCCAGAGGCCCCAATTTAGTTCCTCATTTGGACGAGGGGAGAGGGAGCCCCCAAGAGCAGAGAGGTTGCCCAGGTCCCATTGTCAGTGAGGTGGGGCCACACTCCTGCTCGCTCCCCTCTGTCCTCCACAGCCTTTACTGCTCTGCTCGGCTCCCCTGTCCTGAGACCCATCAAAGCCCCCTCCCTGCAGCTGCTCCTCAGGGCCTGGGCTGTGCCCTGCTTGTGTCCTGTGTCTAGGAGAGTGCCCGTGCATCACACGTGCCCTATAAATGTTGGTTGACTGACAATGAATAAAATTTAAACGATGACTCAGAGATGAGGGATAGGAAAACTTATATATCTATGTATCTACTTACATCTAACACATATAGATACGAAAGCCTTGAACTGATGGGAATAGCCTTAATGATGGGATTTTAGGCAACTCTGAGTGGGCAGAGCAGTATAACACCTGGCATATTGGCATGTAGTAGATACTCAATAAATATCAGGTGTATAAATGAATAACAAGTGATGAGCAAAGTTTAAAATATCCTATCAGGGGTGAAGGGAGTAGCATTCTTATTTTCACAGGACCTAAAGCTTAAACGGAAGGCACATGTCTGCCTAGGATGGGGGGACTTTGGGAAGACAGTCAGGTCTCCATAGCATTCCAGGACTTATTCCCAGGGACAGGCCCCCTTTGTCCATAAGCTAGAGGACTGATTCCCCCCTGGCCTGAGCATCTGTGGCCCAGAATCTGGGGCTTCAGCAGAGGGGGAGCCCTGGCCCCCGCCCAGAGCAAGGGCTGCAGCTGACACCGTTTTTAAACACTGCGCTTGTGTTGGGGCAGTGTCTTGCCCTGAAAGCCTGAAGTTTATCTAGCTGGAAAGGAGAGGCCGCCAGTGTTTACATCTGCTGTGGTCCTGGTGTACACAGAGCTTAGAGCTCTTAACATGAAACAAGTTCATTTCTCAATGTCAGGCTCCAGCAAAATCTGCCCATTTATGGCTGGCAGAGGGGGAAGAAGGTGAGGCTTGCCCTAGGAGGAGGCACCCCAACACCTCCTTGCTGATTGGATAACTGGGGGTCATCCCAGAGGCAGCCTGGGTGCAGACAGAGGGAACTTGGTGTCTGCCCGTGGCACTGGCGGATGTGGCAGCAAGCTGTGTGGCGTGCATGAGGGAGAAAAGGGGGTTGGAAAAGGGTCAGTCAAGCCCTGGACCCTGCAGCAGGTCTGCTGACTGGGCAGGTTCTCCAACGGTCAGCGCAGAGTTAGGAGTAAAGGTTGCATCTCTACCGTCCTGAAGCTCCTGGCCAAGTCGGGGGCCAAGTTCCAGTGTAGCAGAGATAATTCACCGTGAGCTTCAAGTTTCAGAGGAGGGTGGGAGAGGCCTTTGGGGTTTTGAGGAGTGAGTGCCAACTGCCCCTTGAATGAGTCCTGGAAGTAATGGGAGCGGGACATGGGAATGATCCCAACGGAAGGGTTGGACGGGGCTGGCGGGCCCCCAGGGTCTCCGCAGGAATGGGACAGGAGG